CATTTCCAAAACTGGAATTTGGCTTTTGTGAGGATCAAATGACACAGAGCTTTGTAAATGCTAAAATTATTATTATTATTCATGTATATGCTTCCATAAGCATACTGCCACTGAAATGTTTACTAGCACACATGTGTGCGTGCACACATACACGTCCCTACTGTAATTTTTAGAATTAAAAAAATATGCCTTGGAATCATGCTATTATTTTTTAACATAGATTTTTAATTAAGAGGTCATGGCTGCATTGGAGAGCAAAGAAAGAATGAAGGGGAGAATTTATGAGGATATGAAGTGTTAAGTAGCTCAGTGCCTTTCTGAAAGGGGTTTAGAGAGCTACAATTACACACTTGCAGCACATGGCTCAGATGGGTTCTATTCCCCCTCACTTGGATATATTTCATCCAATTCTCCAATGACTTGGCTGCTAAATAAGGAAGAAAAGATTTATAAGATGCATGTTGTCTGGTGTACAGTACTAGAAATGTTGCAGGTATGACTGGCATAACTAAATCTTTTTTTTTTTTTTTCTTTTCAGTGGACCTTTCATTCTGAAATGCACCTTAGGGGGATCATTAATTTGCATAAATTTGTCTAGCTTTGATAACATGCAAGCACTATTTAAGAACACATGCTGACTAACAGAAAGATGGACAAACAGACCTAAACTTTAATTCTTCTAATATTAGTTTAATAAAAGCTTATGAATAGAAAGCCTTCATTTCCAAGGTATTGCATAGGTCAGGAAGTGAGTGCACCAGTGAATTTAGGTGATATGCCCCCAGGGTGGGCTCTCCTGCAGGCAGCCAGAGCATGAACCTAGAAACTCTGTGAAACAATGTCAAACAAAAATCAGGATGGAAATGACAATTAATATGACAACAATTTTTAAAGAAGCATCAAAACAGTCATCAAGGGAAAATATAAAAACCTTGCTGGGTTATAAAATAAGTTGTAAAGCATGTTTTTTACAGTTTAGTAATGTAAAACATATTTTGAATTACTTGTGAGCGGTCAAGATTATTCCTAGTGGTGTGTGTGCGATGGAGCTCTGAGCCTAAACTATGGGATGCGAGATAATCCTCAGCATGGGCTCTGATACAAACGGAGTCTGATGACTGGCCAATTCCTCCTGGAACAGCAGTGAGATGAGGATGATGAATTTCTTCTGAGGACATCAGTCATATTGGACTTAGGGCCCACCTAACTAATTAACTAATTACATCTGCAAAGACCCTATTTCCAAATAAGGTCACATTCTGAGGTTCCAGGTAGACATGCATTTTGGGGGGACACTATTCACCCCATGGAAAATTATTTATTCATTTATAAATGAATGAATTTATTGTTGGATGCTTGCTGCTTTTAGCTTCCTAGGCCCCTACAAGCATTAATCTGGCCCTGTGTGTGGTACCAATGAAGACTGAACTCAAAGCTCTTTTTGGTATGCGTGGGTGGCAGAGAGGTTGAGTGGTACCACCCGAAGTACTATTGTAATAACAGTCCCTCATTTTTGCAGAGCTTTTTTCTACTTCTGTCCTCACTTCTTTGATCGAAGGAAGTGTAGTTTTATATTGAGAAAATTTGAGGCATAGAGACTTGACTAGTTTTACACAGAAAGGTCAGGGTTAGAAATTAAGACCCAGTCTAAAGTCTAGTCCTATCTCTTTCCGTTACACCCAGCCACGACTCCATGACTCTGAGCTTTAAGAATGTTGGCTGTCTGTATTAAATATCTGTTTCCTTTTCTGGCATCAGTTGCTTTTGAAGAAAAATTGGAAGAAGAATTTATGTCTTCCAAAGGAAAGAAAAACTCTTTTTCAAAAAGGATTTAAATCTACTTACACAAATATAGGTAACAATCAATGAAGCTTTAACAATAACATAATACTTATAGGTTATTTTTATAAAACAACCAAAGCATTGCTTGTGTGACATGTTTGTAGAGGAGGAAGAAGACCTGGAGTCTGGTACTAGCTCAATCATTTATTCTCCCTCTGAGCCTTATTTTCCTCTAGTCTTCTTTTTTTTTTTTTTTTTGAGGCAGTGTCTCACTCTGTTGCCCGGGCTAGAGTGCCATGGCATCTGCCCAGCTCACAGCAACCTCAAACTGCTGGGCTCAAGCAATCCTCCTGCCTCAGCCTCCCGAGTAGCTGGGACTACAGATGTGTGCTGCCATGCCTGGCTAATTTTTTCTGTTTTTAGTAGAGACGGGGTCTTGCTCTTGCTCAGGCTGGTCTTGAACTCCTGACCTCAAGCGATTCTCCCGCCTCCCCTTGGTCTCGCAAAGTGCTAGGATTACAGGCATGAGCCACCAAGCTAGGCCCAGTTGTTTTTTTTTTTTAACAATAAAAGAGATTAGACTATATAATCTCCCAGGGCTTTTCTAGTTCTGTCAGACTCTGACACAGAATTACTTTAATGTGATAGTGTGATTTGCATACTACATGCAAATACCTATTCACCCATGCAGTAGTTTCCCGGGGCTGTTGTAAGAAATTACTATTAATACAAACTGGGTGGCTTAAAACAACAGACATTTATTCTCTCACAGCACTGGAGAATAGAAATTTGTAATCAAGGTGTCTGCAGGGCCATGCCCCCTCTGAAGGCTGTAGAAAAGAATCTGTCCTTGCTTTTTTCTGGCTTCCAGTAATGCTCAGTGTCCTTTGGCTTGTAGCACATCACTCCCATGGAGCCCTGTCTCCATCTTCACATGGCCGTCTTCTCTGTGTGTATCTCTGTGTGTCCTCTCCTTGTCTTCTAAGGACATCAGTCATATCGGACTTAGGGCCCACCTAACTAATTAACTAATTACATCTGCAAAGACCCTATTTCCAAATAAGGTCACACTCTGAGGTTCTAAGTGGACATGAATTTTGGGGGGACACTATTCACCCACTGCAAATTATTTATTCATTTATATATTCAACAATATTTATAGAACATCAGTTACCTATCCGGCACTGAGAATACAAGCATGAGCAAACTAGATGTTGTCCTCCTTGCCCTCCCAGCGTTTGCAACCCAATAGGGAAAGGAGGAAGTTAAACAAGCAGTAGAATATGATAAGCCCTGGATAACCAAGTAGAGTACGTTATCCAATAAGAAGTTTCACGGAAACTTCTTCACCAGGTTCAATACCTAGTCTCTCAATTGGGATTATAACATGAACATACTTTTCTTTTGCATTAGGTGCTTGGTTTCTCTTCCATTAATTAACAGGAAGGCTTTAGTTTAAAATGATGTTGTTATCGTTTTCACCACCATCATCCTCATCTCGCTGCTGTTCTGTGAGGAATTGACCAGTCATCAGTCTCAGTTTGTATCAGAGCCCATGCTGAGGATTATCTCGCATCCCATAGCTGAGGCTCGGAGCTTCACTGCACACACAACACTAGGGATAATCTTGATTGCTCATTTACCCTCAGAGGGAGGCCCTTGGGGAGCAGGAGTCCTGCCGCTTTTGTTACAGCAAAGGGGTCCATTATGTTGAAAAGATCTTCTGTTCAGAAGGTCTTCTTATCACTCAATTCTTGAGATTTCTCTTTTGAATATTGTGATTTGCTTAATCTCTGAAATAGAAATATCCTTAGACACTTTATTTCAATCATCTTAATTGAGGTTGAACATTGAGATGAGGATAATAGAAGCTGGGGAAGGGAAAGGACTTCTGGCCCAAGAACAGAACACAGGTATCCCCGCTCCCAGCCCAATTCCTTGTTCACACTACTAGGTTGACTTCTCAGGACAATATTCCCTCCTTTTTATAGACCAAATGAGATGGGGAATGAGTGATTTCAAATAGAGAGATATTGACTATAATAATTCTGCTACTTTCTTTGTATTCAAGGATGAATGGAACAATTTAAAAAAACTTGAGCAATATTTGGTGTTGACTAGAGCCAGTGTCAGATATTATGTGATCATGCAGCCACTGGTGAAGGTCCAGGCATGGCTTAAGGGACCAAGTTCCGCCTTAAACGCAGCAAATGTTTATTTACTGAGTGTCGTTAGTTTGAGACGTGGTAGGAGGTATGGTAATGCAGTGGGTATGTTATAAACCTACCCTTCTAGTTTAGAAGACTAGCTGCTTAGTGACTAAGCTGATATGGGCATATTATGGGGGAGACTTACCCAATCACTGAGATAAGGGAGGGAGCTCTCAGAAATGCTTTGGTAGATCCCTCTGTCAGTGTATTTTAAGGTCTTCCTCAATTAATGCAGAAAGGGAAACCCAGGTATAAGAAAATCTTCCCCTTGAAAACATAAAGAGTTGGCGTATTAGGTTAATCACATAATTTTGAAGCGTTGTTCATGTCACATGGACGCTTTTGGTTGATTTGGTTGTTTACCTAAATATCTGAGATGCCTCTTAGATATCTGTCAATTGCTCAGTATTGGGGATGATAAAACTATAGTTGATGTTCTCTGAGATAGACAGGAGGAGGCCTTTCTGAGGGAAGACTCATACAGCCATTACTAAGGATATTTATCAAAAAGAGTAGAAGTGGTTAGAGAGAGGAGGCTATTGGGATATCACTCAGGCTGTGTAGTGGGCAGAAAGGTGGAGAGTAAGAGAGAGATTTCAGGGAAAAGGTACCAGCAAAGACAGTCAGGGGTGGGCATGGAGAAAGAGAAGGTTTTAGGTGACAAGTGAAATGGCTTCTCTTTGTGTTCGTTAAATTCCAATAAACTCTTTATTCAACAAGGATTTCAAGCCACATTTCTTTGTTTCTAAGAAATATAACTTTTGGGATAAGTTTTTCTGAATATGGAAGACTCCTTGGCCAAAAAACCAGTTTTTGCCCATTTTTCCTCTTCCTGGTTCTGGGTGGGGTTCTGAATGTCTCTGATCAGAAGTGGAGGTGCATCCCTTTGTAAGGGGGCCGTTTCCATTGAGTACAGACCTCAGCTACCAGGATGAAGGTCTACCCTCTCAGTCTACTGCAGTGGGCAAATGTGAAAAATTCCACCTTCCTTTTCTGAGATCCCTTGAGCCACACCCTGAGAGTTTGTGAGGTCATACCTTCATGATCTCTCAGATCTCTGATTGACATGAGACTCAAGGTTGGGGGAGGAGAGGTTCAGGTCCAGTGGAGGTGGTGTGGTAAACCGGAGAGTCCCCATCACAGATCTGTTTCCCCACCCTCCTCCACTGGCTCACATCCCACCCCCACCCTCCAGCAGAATCTTGACATTGTGGCCTGGTATCAAGTGAGGATGGCAAGGCCCACATAGTGAGTGCAGAGCCCACTTCCTGGTGTCATGCTTGATGAGTATCATTCACTCCTGCCACTGATACTCCTCTCCAGGACAAATGCCAAATGAGTATAAGGTAAAAGCCCCATGCCACATCCTAGTGAGTCAGAATTAGAGGTTCACACTCTCCAAAGATGAGCTCTTGAAACAAGTATCACCTTCTTGGAAACACAGTACAGGCTGCTGGATAAACACCAGATAGATATCAGATACTTTGCATCTATGTCTTTGGACAGCCCAGTGTTCAAAGTCCTGAGAGCAACCAGTAGAGGACCTAATTCTGACCCTTCTTTGCAGCATGATTTGCAGAACCTACTTTGGGCTTGTCCATGGCCTGCATCGGCAGCACCTTGCCGGGACAGTTGCACCTAAGCAGAGCACAACTAATGACTTTGCCAACCTGACCTACACAGAAAACCCTGTAGAGTTTGTTGAGGAGTTTTTTCCAGAGAAGAATTTCTGGATATTTGAGATATATCTGAGTATTTTGACAACTATACAAAAATTAGTATTTGAAAATAATTCAAATTCATCTTCGACCCTCAGATAAATGCTTTCCTTGGTTTCTTTACTCTTAAGATAGTATAGGATAAAGAGAAATTATCATGACTCTGGGATTCAATTAAACTCAAATTAATACATGTGTGTTCCTGAGCAAGTTCTAAACAGCACTGAGTCTCATTTTCCTGTCTGTAAAACATGGGTAATTATTATCCTTAATTCACAGGATTATTTTGAGCAGCAAATGAGGCAATGAATTTGAAACAGTATGTGGCATGTTGTAAGTTCTCAATAAGGTTTTATTATTTTTCTTGAATACACCAAGAATGACCCTGTTTCTAGACCTTTCCTTCAGCTAATTATAGAATGTCTTTTGCCTACTTGAGTCTTCTCTTTCTTTCAAGTCCTAAGTCTATGTCTTTCCTCCTTGTGCTGCCAAAGCCTATGGTGATTTTTCTGTTCTTTGGAACCTTATGAAATATATTACATGTTGGTGTTTACTCAAACTTTTATATAGAGGAACTATTAATATTTTACAGACTGACATACAAGTTTGTCAAAAATAAGGATTGTGTGTTCTATCCCTTTATGTTCTGAGAGTTGAGTGTAATGCCTGCTGCATGGTAGGTACTCAGTAATTGTTGGTGCTATTTCTAATCAAACCACCAAATAATATGACAAGCATATTATTCATTCAACTACTGAATAATACCAATGGTAGAGCAAATGTTTCTTGAGCAGCAGCTTTGGGACAGGCATGGGTTTTGCACAGAGCATGGTTGGAGATACATTCTCTGGATTTAGATCTTCAGACTTTCACATGCAGCGCTTTTCAAGTCTGAAACTTGGATGCTTGTATTATAAAAATATAGATTCCTAGATCCACCCAAACCTTTCCAATCAGAATTTTGGGAATAAGCTGGTTGGCTATCTGCACTTTTTTTTTTTAATAACAAGTTTCTCTGGAGATTCTAATGCACGTTAGAGTTTAAGAATCACTGGGTTTGCAGACCTTCCTGCTGCATCATGATACTTGCACACTATTCAGTCAGTTATTCAAATAGTCCATATTTGCCAAGTGGGTACTTGGTTGTTCCTGTTTGTGTTTTTTTTTTCTTTTTTTGACGTCACTTATGGCAGCCCTGAAACCCAGAAGGGAAGCCTGCACACTGGGCTCTCCCCGTGTGTTCTCATGATGAGGTCATTGCCAATCTGCTGTGTGGCAACTTCTCTTTTCCAAGGTTAGTACTGAAGTGGATACAAGGAATAGAATATTAATGAAGTCTTCATACCAGTTTCTCCTAACTTCAAATTTGCATGTGAAAAAAAAATTACCTGTGTGGTATAATGAGAATTATACTGGAATTCTATAATCCCTTCATTTCTGTGGGCCTTAATTTCTTCATCTGTAAGATATAATGTTCAAGTAGAAGATAATTCCCTTTATACTCTTTCATGCTTCTAAGACCATTTCATTCAAATTTCACAGATGTACTTCAATTGTGACGTGGATACTTATAGGGGTTTGCATTTCATCTTTGAGGATGGTGTGGGCTCTTCAAGCTTTCCAGACTGAAGAAGCTTTATTCTATAGGTTCTGCTTACTTGAAAACCCTCCTGACCCTTTGATGTTTTCTATTTTAGTATCTGGAGAACATCTGGGGATTTTGCTTTTGCTGATATGCAAAACACTGAGTTTGTGTATGTGAGTAGACCAAGTATCTTCTGATTGTTTTCTGGCAACCTTTTTCATGAAGCCCAGATTCTTTTGTATTGTTTCTCTGGGATACAGAGAGTCAGAAGGCTGATTTGATAATTTTGTTAGTCTTTGTTTTTTTTTCTTTTATGCATTCCTTCATTGTGCTGTCACATATAAAGCTTACATAGTATTAAACAGAGTAAATTATGAACACAACATGGATCTTGTCTTCCACGCGCATCCAAAAATAATAGCTGACATTTGTCAATTCCTTACAATGTTCCATGCCAGGTGCTGATCATTCACATACATTATCTCATTTAAACTTTATAACAACCCTCTGAGTTACATATTTTTAATATCTCCATTTTATAGATAAAGAAACTAAAAATGAGCAAGGTAAATGCAATTTTACCAGTCACACAGCTAAGTAGTCTAAGCAGGAGAGATAAATTTTGTGTCCCTTGGCAGTATTGTAAGTCAACAGAGTGATTTCTTTTTATTCACATTGAGGTTCACCCTTGGTGGTGTACATTCTGTGGGTTTTGACAAATGTACAATGGCACGTATCCACCATTATAGTATCATACAGAGTAGTTTCACTATCTTAACCCCCCACCCCCACGCTGTAACTATTCATCCCTCCCCCATCTCCTGACCCCTGACAACTACTGATCATTTAGTCTCCATAGTTTCACTTTTCCCAGAATGTCATATAGTTAGAATCATGTAGTATGTAGCCTTTTCAGATTTGTTTCTTTCGTATAATAATATGCTTTTAAGATTCTTCTTCCATGTCTTTTCATGGCTTGATATCTCCTTTCTTTTTAGTGCTGAGTAATGTTCCACTGTGTGGACATATCACAGTTTATTTATCCATTCAACTACTGAAGGACATCTTGGCTGCTTCCAAGTTTTGACAATTATGAACAAATCTGCTATAAACATCTGTGTGAACAGAGTGATTTTTAAACACTTGCTATGGGAGTACAGAAACAAAAGATCAAAGATTTGATTTAGGCCTTGAAGGTAGTAAGATTCTGATGGGCAGAAACAGATGGAAAGACACATTCTTGGTGGAGAGAACAAAGGAAGTTAGCATTTTTCTGAACACCTGCCATGTGTCAGGCAAACTATTGGGTGCTTTAAGTTATCTTAGCTAAACTTCTCAGTCATCTCCTGGAACATTCCAATGATAGTATGATGCCTTATTTTCACAAGTATGAAAGCTAAAGCTAAGAAATGCTATAACTTTTCCCAATTCCCAAAACCAGAGAAGTCATAGTTTGAACTGAGTTTGACTCCAAAGCCTACGCTCCTTGTCTTATCCTACTGGGCTCTCTGTCTAAGGGCAAGGAGATCAGAGCAAATAGTTGGCTAGATCATAAGATGCAGGAAGGATGTGTGTGGTAATAAAGCTTGACAAGGAGGTCGGAGCCAGGCCGTGCAGGGCTTTGACTTGGGCACTGTGGGGGTGTCTCTGGGCCGTGGAGTGTCAGCATGAGGTAATCAGATATGGAGGATGAAGGGGAAGATGGTGGAAGAGCAGGGAGCAAGAGGAAGGACCGTCTTTTTCTATTTTGCAACATTGTCTAAAGTTGACAGTATTGATGCTAGTAAGAGACTTCTGAGAATATGCAAATTTCTAGCCCTGGGTGACCTTCAGGAGAAGGAACAAGATGTCTGAGACGGGGGCTTCCAGTAGATCAACCTGAAGGAAGTTGATCTACTGAAACTCTAGACTCAGGCAGAGAGGAAGTCACATGTGTTTTCTCCCTGCCTGTCAGCATCTTGGTCCTAGAGGATGTCTGTTTGGTCACCACCACCCCTACTTTATCAGATCACTTCAAAAAGTTGAGAAATTTTTTCAGTTTGCAGGCAACTTTTGGAGATTTTTGCAAAATCAGTCAAAATGATCAAATCACAAGGGCTTTTAAATCAGGGAGCTCAAAGGAGGAAGCTTCATGTTTTCTCTCTCTCTCTCTCTTTTTTTTTGAGACAGAGTCTCACTCTGTTGCCCTGGGTAGAGGGCAGTGGCATCATTGTAGCTGACTGCAACCTCGAATTCCTGGGCTCAAGAGATCCTCCTGCCTCAGTCTCTGAAGTAGCTGGGACTACAGCTAATTTTTTCTGTTTTTAGTAGAGACGGGGTCTCACTCTTGCTCAGGCTGGTCTCGAACACCTGACATCAAGCAATCCTCCCACCTCTGCCTCCCAGAGTGCTAGGATTACATGCATGAGCCACCGTGCCCGCCTTTTACTCTTTTATTAAAATTGACTGAAAGTTGCAACTTTTAAAATCTAAATGATGGAAAGTTAGTGCTGAAAGGGATGCCTGCAATATTCTAGTGATTTTTAAAGATGAGAAATTGACATCTGGGGAGATTATGAAACTTGTGTAAGATGACACAGTACCTGCCTGCCCGGCATTAGAACCCAGGTGGCTGCATGCTGAGCCCCGTGCTCCCTGTGCTGCTCCACAGGCTGCTTCTAACTCCCGCAGCTGGCAATTCATACTGGCACAACTGGCCCAGAGAGCGGTGGGGACATTTGTTTATTCACGGGATTATGGTTATGGGGTAATCTGCCTTTTGACAGGTCTTCTTCCAGATCATTGCCTTAAGCACGAAGGACACTAATTCAGCTGCCACAAACAGTACATGGAGGGAAGACAGCTAAACAATCCCGTTTCTACCCCAAGTTAACACCTCTCTTCATGTTTGTAGCTCATTGAACTAATAATATTGTTCCTGCAGTCTAGCCATTGGCAGGACTCAGAAAGGCTTTCTCTTCTTCCCACGCTGCCTGCTGTTTTCAGCTTGGTAAGGCTTGCGATTATATTAATACTTGCAAGGGAAAGAAGGGAGTCCTCACACGTGTGGGCAGTGCCCAGTGCCCTCCACTTGACTAAGGCTACCAGTGTGCCAGGAGAGTGGGGAGCAGGATTTCCACTACCCAGGGCATGAAAACAAATTCCCTCCCCCTCGCCCCCACACCTTTGGTCAGGACATCTTGCCAAAAATAGCCTTGCCAAAACTGAGAGCTGTTGTTCTTGGCAGGCACGATAGCCATTTTTTTCTGTTTCCTTTTTTAGTAGGTAATACAGGAATATGGTACAAAATTAATTTAAAAAAGTAGACCATGAAAAGTAAGGGTCCCTTCTACTCCTGGCCTCAGGCTTTCAATTCCTTTCTCCAGAGGCAACATTTGCAACCAGTGTTTTGTGTATCCTTTCAGATACAGTCAATGCCCAAACAAGCATTATTATTGGTTTTTTTTTAGCACAAATGGCCATATATTTTATGTATGATTCTGCCCCCCCCTTTTTTTTTAACTTAATAGATCTCGGAGTTGGCTTCCTGTTGAACTTCTTTGTTCTTTTAACTACCACATTACTATGAACAGTTTATCCACCAGGCTTCCTCTCTTCACTGTTTTACTTCTTTTCTTGCTATTAAGTACTGACTTGGTTCCAGTTAGGTTTTTCAAGCTGTCGTAGAGAAGGGAAAGACCAAATGTTAAAAAAAAAAAAAAGCTACACCCAAATCTATTGAACTCTGAAGGATTAGAGCAGTATTTATAGGCTCTGTCCCCTGGAAATAGGAGATGCTCTTACTCCTGTATTACAGGGAAAGAACAAGAATGCAGGAAGCTTCCAGAACTCACTCCTAGTGCATTCAGGAATCTGTGGCCATGATGGATTGATTGGTCACAGCGTTCTCCATGAAGGAATCTCCACACTGAAAGGGGCGTCATTAACAAGATGATCATTAAGTGCTCTGTTATCCAAGATGGGAAGTTGGGACTCAGTGAGTAAAAACAATATGCCAAAGAAGAGTTTGGCAGAAATGAAGACGTATCTCAGATGCTTGCATGAAAGGGCAGAATAGTCCTCATTTATCTTAAGAGATGATACGGAAAAGCCATGTAGGAAGTCTGGGTCCAATCTTCACAGAAAAAGCCAAGTCTTTCCCTCTACAGGCTTTGTTGGACATGACTTGCCAATTCCATTTGTTCACTTTTTTTTCTTCTAAAAATATGTCTTTTTTCCTCCCTCAGGTGCCCCCTCCAATTCAAAGTATCAAAGTGCAATTTACCAGTAAGTATTGCGAAAAGTTTAATTGATTCATATTTTTGAAAGAATCTTCTCTTCAGTCTCTCAACTTCCTCCAGAATCCAGACCTCTCCTTTTCCTTAGGGAAGGAATTAAATTCCAATTAAATCCCAGAATTGTTGCAGCCTGCATATTATTTTCATTAGGGACAAAAGCTTACAAAGAAGAAAGGGGGAATAATTAGTTAGCATATATGTGCTTCTCTCTGTACTAATTACTTTATGTGTCTCACTTAGTCCTCCTAGGAACCCTTTGAGTAGGAATTATTCTCATTTTCCAGCTAAAGAAACTAAAGCTTTACTTCTTATAAGTCTGTCTGATGCTGAGACACATTATGTCCCGCCAATTCTATTCTGGGACAAAATTATACCTCAATGAGAGTTGGGGGAAGTCCTTGGTAGGAAGATAAGGGGTTTCTCTATGAATATGCATTTTTTTTTTTTTCGGCTTTTTTTGGGGTTCCGGTTTTTTGGTTTTTTTTTTTTGCCTTTCCCCCTTCCCCCCCAAGTCTGAACTTCAAGAGTGTCCATCCCCCAGATGGTGCGCATCACACTCTTTGTGTGTGCATATACCCATCCCCTCCTCCCCACTCCCCTCTTGAATATGCATTTTTAAATTAAGTTCTCCTGAGCCTGAAGGGAAGTATCTCTTGCCCTCCATAAATGGTCCTCATTTTCAATTCAAAGTATGCTCCCTGGAACTGGTATAAGGCTAGGATTACTGAATTATGACCAATAATGAGAACCAATTCCTTCCCATCACCAAGGAACATGGGCCAGAATAGGATGTGCTCAAGACGTGGCTGCCTGACCATTTGGATGATATTGGGGCTGATACGTAAATAAAAGAAATTTAGGCTCTGGCTTGCGTTTAGAATGGCCCTGCACAAAGCTACCAAAGCTATCACTTTGCCTCCTTTTCTTCTTCCTTCTTTTCTTTCTCCTGTGACAGCAACTTTTCCCAAGGTACCTTCCAGAATAAATTAGCAATAGGAGATAGAAGGGAGAAGCAAGTCTGTGTCCTTGAGCTCTTCTGCCTGCATCTTACTGAGCCCACCCTGAGCCCACAGACATTCTGTGCTAAGTTGCATTATTAAGCTTAAATGACAGCTGGCAAAGGCCAGTAGTGAATGCTGTTGGTAAATCCAATGCCTGGGAGGATGTGGAAAATTTGCATTTCAGGGTCAGTTGGAGAGGCGATAGGGAACAGTTTGAAGCAGTTACTTTGAGTCAAGCTTCAAAGTGGAGGTAGCGTACAGGACCAGGGCAGCGGGCACTGCTGCCATCCTATGCCGCAGTCCATCACTAAGCAAGAAAGGAAGCACCGAAGTTGCCAACCCCTCCCTGTTCTAAAATTCAGGGAAACCTTGAAGCTACCTTTCCTGCCATAGGTCTGTTGTGACAATTGCTATAACCTCTCAGCTCCTGAATCCCAGCCCATCTGAGACTCTCTTGGCTACTGTTAGTTTTGCTTCTTGCATTTCGCTGGTAAAGCAGATTCCGCCCCACAGGTAGAAACAGCACTCTCGTGCTTTTACTCTCTTCCAAATCTCTTCCTGTCCCTCTCTCTTCACCTGGTTTCAGAAGTATTGGAAGATTGTTGCCCAGTGCTGTGCTTAGGAATCACTCTTTTTTCACTCTTTTCTTTTTTTAAATTCTTTCCCTACCCTCCCTAGAGTATGAGAAGGAGAAAGGTTTCATCCTTACATCCCAGAACAAGGATGATATCATGAAGGTGCAGAACAACTCAGTCATCATCAACTGCGATGGGTTTTATCTCATCTCCCTGAAGGCCTACTTCTCCCAGGAGGTCAACGTCAGCCTTCATTACCGGAAGGGTCAGAGACCCCTCCTGGTCCTGAGCAAGATCAGGTCTGTCAACTCCATTATGGTGGCCTCACTGGCTTTCAAAGACAAAGTCTACTTGAATGTGACCAGTACCTTCTATGACAGCCTCTATGCAAATGGTGGGGAATTGATTCTCATCCATCAAAATCCTGGTGAATTCTGTGCGCACTGAGGGTCTGACGACAGGACCTTAAACCAGGCACCAGCATGAGCACCAAGCTGGGGTTGGACAGGACACGGACTCTTCCTTGCGAGTGAAGGAGTTGTCCCAGCTCGGCCACGTGGGATGTGACCAGAAGCAGATCCTGCCCACACCCCCACCCCCTCAGGGATATTTAAAACTTACATACTACTTAACCTTATTTATCCTTATGTCTTCTAAATTACCTAACCCTCGTCCCCCATGACCGCCTCAAGCCCACTAGGCACCTTTGTGAGAAACGGAAGATGGGTGCCTCTTTTTTAAGACACATTGTTTCTGTTGGTCAGGTGATTGTCATAATAAACTTATGTCATGGAAAATGGCACTTGACTACCATTTGCTGGAAATCTGACGTGTGTGTGGCATTGTCAAAATGAAGAGGAGCAAGGAGGGGTTGTGAATCTGCCAAAGGTGGCGTGAACCCCTGGGAGCCAAGCTGCCTCTCCAAGGTTCGCTGGTTGCAGTTTGCAAATTGCCTGAATTTAAACTCCCTCGTTGGGTGGGAGTTCAAAAGGAAAATCAGCTTGTGAAAATCAGGAGTTGAAGATAGTCACCCAAGAAATACTGTGCACTGTGGCTTTGTTCTTTACAAGTTTGCTTTTCTGGCCTCCGAACGTACTTAATAGAAATTTCTCTTCAGAGAACCATCCTGGGGATATGATGCTGTGAAAATCTAATGAGTGACTTAAGGAAAACAGAGAGAGATTTTTCTATACAGGGAGAGTGAGACAATTTATTGCGAGGCTTATCTTTATTGCGTAGAATGGCAGTGAACTGGACCTCTCAGGGTAAAAGTCAATAAGGATTTTAACAGTCTGGGGAGGAGAACACATTCTTTGCCACAGATGGGCAAAGCAACACATGCTCATCCTCCTGCCTGTGCTGAGATACACACTCAGCACTGTGTCTTGTACACACATACCACATTGCTGGTTTCAAGAAATGAAGTGATTGTATTATCAAATACAATTTATTGTCAAATGGTACTAAGAAGCTATTGTGCCTTATGAAAAATAATGATCTCTGTCTAGAAATACCATAATACCACCTATTATCTCACATTGATGACTGAAACTAGAAGGACCTAGGACCAGGCAATACTAAGGCTTCGAGAGAAAAGGATTTTCTTATGTTTAGCTTAAATGTACCCCTTTAACTTGGTATAATGTATCATGCTTATGGCATTGTGGACAAATGCCATTATTTCCAGATAATTTGTAGCTTCTCTATGTCAAAACTTTTACAAATGTAAATTTTTGATAATTTAAGAAAAAATTGTAGCACATGTTTCCTTGCCATTTTAAATAGAGGACACAACACGTCATAGAATCTTTCTGGATGATTCTGTGTCACCATAGGAATTGTTCTGTGTTGCAGTATGATGATTATCTCTAGGACCTCCAGAGGTGGGGGGGCCGTTCACCCTTACACCAAATGGTCTCCATTACATTTGGATTCTATTTCTATCTGTTTGATACAGTTTTCTATTTCTATTAAGTATCTATCTCCAACTACATTCCCACCCCTCTATTTTAATCTGTTATGGAAAGAAGCTAAATAAAATTGCTAAATAAAAGAAATTGTGCATAAGGTAAGAGTAATTCAGCTCTGAGTGGCTGCCAAGCCACTCACACAGTTATAATTGTAGATAGACATTTATGAAGCACCTACTGTGGACCAGGCACTGGGCGAAATGCTTTACATGAATTATTTTGAGCAGGATATTCTGTGACATCTGTCTTGGCTACTCATAAGATTTGTGTGTGTGTGTGTGTGTGTGTGTGTGTGTGTGTGTGTGTAGTTTACTTTTTTTGTTTTTGACTATGATCTGCAAAGTTGTAGTTACTCTGGAGTGATAGCTGAAAAAAAAATGTTTATGACTATAAGTAATATTTAAAAAAATGCGTGTTTACTTTTTTAAGTCTGGAATTTCCGTCTATATTTCTCATAGAGGTGCAGTACACACGCCAGGCCTAAGCATAATTGTTGTGTGGGGTGCTTGTGTTCGGCGCCATGGCCCTTCCTCACAGGTGGCCAGGTGGGTACACCTGGCCTGCTCTTCCCTTGCCGGCCTCCTTCAGCCGCACAGGGCTATTTCTGCACCAGCCTCCCTCCTCCACCTTCCACCCATCAAAATGAATGTTTGCTGTGTCGCAATCCCTTTAAGTCTTGTCTTTCAAAGGAATAATTAACCCTTCTCCATATGTGGCAGAGTTTTGTGGAAAGAGAACTGAGTGAAAAGTCAGGAGATCAGAATTCTAAATTTGATTCGGTCATTAACTAGCCAAGTGACCTCTGGCAAATAATTCCCCATTTCTGGATCCTGCTTTCTTCTCTTGTTAAATGAGAGGCATGTTAAATGTCTAACAGTTTAGAATCTCATGCTTATAGTGTTAGCTGTGAATGTACATATGAAATGTCTATGTACTGCTTGCTATGAGTCAGGAGATGTAACCTTCTCTTTTACTATATGGAATTTATTTTTTCCTGGACAAACCAACATCTTCCCTCAACCTTTTTGGTGATTCCTTCAAGAGCAGTTATCAATTGCTACCTAGTAATTTTCTATGTAGAGAATGCTCAAAAGATTCCAATTTCGATCAAAATCATAATTTGTTCTTAAGCATACCGGGCAGGTCCCTTATTTTAAGCCACAATTTTGTATTTAGTACTTTTATGGCTCTCAGAGAGTATTAATATTGATATTAATAATATAGCTAATAATAATATTGATATTTACATGGAAACAAATAAAATGTCTCAGAATTCACTACTGGTTAGAGTGTTGGAGTTTTTATTTATCCTTCTCTTCTTCTCCATGTTCTGATTAGCTAATTCCCTGGTGAGGGGAGGATGGGACAAGCTTTCACGTTTCCTACTTGCCTCCAATCTTAGCCATCAGGGCTATGCTCAAGGGTGGTTGAGCTGGCAGAGTCCATCTTTGCTTTCAAAAGATGCTCACTGGGAGTTTTCAGAGCCCTCTTCCTGGTTCGAGAGACTGATCCAAATAGAGTTCCACCATGTACTGTTTTTCCTTCCCTCAAGACATCATTTCTAACCCTGAGAGGCTCTCTTATGTCCCCTCTCCTTAGTAATAATTACATCTGCTATCTCAAGAAGAGGTCACAACTATTAATGTGTTTGTGTGGCATGGTTTGGCCAGAGTGATCCCTGTGCTACCTTTGATGGTGTTGGTGACTCTCTCCTCCCTGAAATGCTCCTCTTCCCTGGCTTCTCTGACCTCACCCTTTTCTGGTCTTCTCTTTCCCTCTCTGTTCTCTGCCTTTTTGGTCTTCATATGCCTCTCCTTTCTCTGCCCACCCTTTAACGCTTGTGCTCTGCAGGGCTCTACTTTCAGCCCTCTTCTTTCTCTGCATCAGAGCCCACTGTCTGGCAGCCAGTCAGCCACAGTCTGGCCCATGTGTGTGTTTTCTTGCTAAGTTGAATGTAGTTGATGACATTTAAACATTGGGAAATTCCTGGCTTCTTTTGAAAACAAAAACAAAAGCAGGAAATCTGGTGATGCTGGGCCTAATTTTGGCATGGCAGCAACCATGGCAAGCAGCATGGCAGCCTCCCTCTTCAGGGAGACTCTGACTGTCCGTTTTCCCAGAGTTCCCACCATCCACACAATATGCAAATGTGTTTACACCAACTCGCTTGGCCCATTTGCTGCCCAGTCCAGAAGCATTTGAGTTGTAATCTCTACTCCATACCTTTGCCAATCTCTTGATTCTTATGCCTTTGACCACTGCTCATATACCAGCGATATCTAAGACCATTTTCCAGCCCAGATGTTTTCCACTCCAGTGCCATAATTATTTTAATAATTTGTGTAACTAGTAGTAAAATACTCAATTATTGAGTGCTCACCCTATGCCAGACATCATATTAGCCATTTTATATAAATTGTTTAGCTCCATTCCTCCAACAACTCTTTGAGATTTATTATTCCTATTGTACATATGAGAACTTGAAACTCCAAGAGGTAAACTTATCCAAAGGCATACAGCTACTAAGTGGTGGAGCTCAGATTCAAGACCAAGGATAGTTGGCACCAAAGACTATGCTCTTAAGCACTGCTACCCTGTCTCTGGGTAGCTCCACATGGATGCACTGGGCACTTCTACTCAGTATGCTCGCGGTAGAACATCCTATCTTCCTTGCCAAGCCCGTCCTGGTTAATGATGTTGTTTAAAGGCATCATAACCATTCCTGAAGCCGGATGCCCCAGAGTCGCCCTACTTTTCTTCTTCACCTGGTCCCACTCATGAGCCTGTAGACCAGGGGTGGGGAACCTGCAGCCTCAAGGATACATGTGGCCCTCCAGATCCCCGAATGTGGCCCTTCGAACGAATCCAAACTTCACAGAACAAATCCCTTTATTAAAAGGATTTGTTCTGTAAAATTTGGATTCAGTCAAAAGGTGGCACTCAAGGATCCAGAAGGCCACATGTGTAGACCATGGCTTCACTGACTCTTCTCATTACGCTCCTTCATGCTATTGCAGTAGCTCCCATCAGGCCCACTTGCCTCAGTGAGTTCTTATCTTATTGAGATGATTCATATTAAAATGAACAAACAAAATTGGGCAGGGTGCCAGGGTGAAAAGATCATGGTCTTGGGATCCTAGTTTTAAATCCTGGATCTCCAATCACTAGCTGAGTGGCCTTGGCAATTTTTTTTTAAACCATTTGAATCTCACTTTCTTTATCACTTAAATGGGGGATATTAATAATACCTTCTGGATTATTGTGAACATATGAGATAATTCCTATAGAATGCCTCGTATATTGCATGGAATATGGTTGGTCTCAATACATAATAATTTACAAAAGTCTTCTACTCTACAAGACAGAAAATAAATGCCAAATGCCTAACACAATTATAGGGGTTTAAGGATGGAGAATTCACTGAAGCAGAGCAGAATAGGTTTGCAGTTTTAAACTGGAGAAGAAGGAAGGAGAACA